TAACCACTCGACCACCGAGCTTGCCGGGGTCGGCTGGCCGGTCCGAGTCAAATGAAGCAGCGGGTACCGCGAACTGTTTTCAAGATGTATTTTTGCGTTGGGGAGATGTTAATTATATATAACGGTTTGCCCGTAATATGTCTTTGGCAGACATGTTGACAAAAGTGGTCCAAATGACCACAGAGACTCAACGAAAAATCTTTAAGGCTCAACTTGTAAAAATAAAGCATCGCAGTGGTATCAGAAAAACTGTTGAAGTGGAACGGATCCCACAACCCTGTCTGTTTAGGGCAAAGAAATGGGAACTTACTGAGCTTCCACCTATGTATCCTCCGCAAGCACCAAAGCTCTTCGTAAAAGTTCCCATGAGGATATCTACTTCCTTGGGATCGATTCCATAAAAATCCAACACTCCCCTTCCCCTCAAGCCAAGGGCACCTATGCTGTGAGCCTCATCCAGATAGAGGTAGAACTTGTATTTCTTCTTGAGAGCTACAATTTCTGGCAGTTTGACAATGGACCCTTCCATACTGCACAGATAGCAAACAATCCAATTCAATGATTGAGCTTTATAATCAATGGATACAATGTGGCAAAGTATTTATAAGATGGTTTTGGCATGATACTACTAAGTAATGCCATAGATACAATCACTGAAATTTATGTAGAAATGAGAATAGGTGTTGTAGTCGACACCTCTTAAGACCATCACAAAACCTCACAAAGACATACATAACATGACCTCCAGTCTACATTCAAATCACAGGCTATTCAGAAGACATGCAACGAAAGCATTCCTTTGTCACTGTTCACACTGTTACTTGTGACTGGTCTCATGACCAGTCTTATCTTAGGTCTTATGATGTCTCCATAGCAACACCAACAGGAATTCCTCTTCAGGTTTTTCTCATTCTCAGGGAATTCGTTTTTATATCCCAAAATATGAAAAAGTGGGCCAAATGTGGGAAATCTTTCCACATCATTCCAACTGTGTGAAATATTTTCACACGTGAATTGACAAATCACACTTGCATTCCCAACATTTCCTTTGTTTAAGAATGTGAATTGCTGCAAATTCAGAAGAGAAAAATGCTGCAAAAACTGCGTCCCAAAATATGAATTGTGAATACAGTTGAAAATGAAACTTCAGTTTACAAAAAATCCCATTTGTAAATTTGCCTGCTGCAAATACTTGCACCACATATGCCTTCACATCAGCAAAGGAAAACTTGCCTATGTGACAAAAAATATTGAATTTTCGAACATTACATTGTTGTGCCACATTAGGGCTGTAAAGGGAAGTTCCATGTTTTTATACCTGTAGATCCCTTCTACAACTACCAGAATTTTCTTCCAGGGCTTGTGAGTTCTTGGTTGACCAGAAGAGATTGCTCCTCTCAAAACACGCTCTAGATCATCAATGTCTGCAATATAAAAATAAAACCAATTCTAGTCTACTTTAGGGAGACAGCCACTGAATTCATTAGTGAACCCAAAACCTGCTACATATTTTACACAAGGTACAGAACAATGCCCCTGACAAGTAAACTTATTAATATTAACATTATGAAGATGATTTAATTTAACATACCATTGTGTTCAAACACCTTGACTGATGCACCCGACAGTCTTATACCAAGCACCAAGGAAGCATGATTGAACTTGTCACTTATCACCAGACAACCCTGTCAGGGATAGAGAACATCTAACTTCAGAAACTAGAGCCAACTTCAACTGTTGTACAAAGAAAGCCTACTGAAGAACAATACACTGGCATCTATTACAATCAAATAATTTAAAGTGCAATTTTTAATGTGCTTCTTTTAATAGCAAAAACTGTGCAGTTTAGCACACTTGAGTGACCTACAGTTGCTAGACTAAGCTTAAGGAAATCTAACACGTGACACTCTGTTTTCAGGTTATCATATACCCAGCACTGAATATAATAGATAAAAATACACACTGCTACACAGAACACTGCAATTTCATGGAGCAAATGATGCGCATCTCAACAGGAAAATAATCTTTTCCCAGTATGCATGGTTGGTTTTGATTCATTGAATGTGATCTCTGTCTTGTTTCCCCTTTTTAACATTCACACTTCATATTGTCTTCTTAAAATTTACTCCAAAACATTTCTACTTCACCTCAGACACCAAGGAAGGAATATTCAAAGCATTAGTAGCAAAGCCCATGCTGAACGTCATTGCAGCTTCAGTTCCAAGAAAGTGGGCAGTTAACCTCTCTAACTCCTCGACTTTGTCTGTAGTACCTGCAATCAAAAAGGGATGGTGGAAAGTATGATTCTTGGTATTTCAAGACATCTTACATTAAGTGCTGTAAAGAATCTTCCAGGGATTTTTGATGACACAAATTTTTTTTACAGTGGTCACACAGATAAAAGAGGGTCTTGCATGAATATACTCCTTCAGGGCTTCTCAATGAGTAGAAGATAGAATAAAACCTTTGACCACAGAGATAAAACAGCTCATGAAATCATGAAAGGTCTTACATGAGGGATGATGAGAGATGATTAAAGCAGAATAAATCCACCATGTTGAAATTGGTGACAATCTGTGATACTTCCACAAAAGGGTGGACCAGTTCCTGAATCTAAACTGTTACATATCTGTATAAACCACAAAGACTACCCCTCCTTGTAAATTACATTTATGAAAGATGCTAACTGCAGCTTCCACGGTACAATACTGGCCCCACTATGAGGTAAGTAATTTTTGAATCAAACAACTGTTTTCCACAAACTTTAAACACAATCCCTTCTTTTTCCTGAGATTTCCAGAAACACCCAAAAGTCAATAAAGAGTAAGGACAGGTAGCTCCAACGTTTCCTTTCTATGCTCAATACATACCTAATTCTCGTCTAGAGCTGCAGACACCATTCCCGTAGTATCGTGCCGCACTTTCTACCATTTCATTACGTGGTCCTGAGTTTTCAGCAAAGCCAAGGTAGTTATAAGAGCCCAGGTTGATACATCTGAAACTTCGCCCCGTGTAACTACAAAAGACAAATATGGTGAAATTTCAAACTTGAATACGTGAATGTAAGGGACTGAACATACACCGATGCATCAATAACTACAAAAGAAGACAACAACATTTATAGAACAGCATCATTTACAGGGAGCCATGACAGACTCAGGTGGCTTTCTGGACAATTTCTTTGGAGATATCAAGACAAAAAATGGTGGTACTCCGTACCAATTAATTTCAGTTGAATTTACTAAACTAAAGACTTTTTTGGTAAAAAGACACTTTCTATGAAATGAAATGCATGTACATGTATAATGTGTCATGTCATTCCCTTGCATTCATAAAATCTACTACCGTGGTATAATAAAACGTTTGTTACCTGTTGTGAAGGGGTCCATGGGTTCTTTACACCCTCGTGTGTACAAAACCCCATGGACACCTACATGTACATGTACACAGCGGGCAACAGTTGTATACTGTACCCTGGTACAGATGAAATAAACATTGCACACTACAATAAGCAGCTGCAGCACTTGTAAAGAATTCCAAATATATAGGAAAATAAAACACTAAGTCTACTGACAATTCAAGGACGAATATAAAACATGAATAAAGCACACGTACATGTGAAATTCATGTACATGTAGGTGCCAAAACTTCAAATCTGAAGTGCATGCATTCCATGTACTGTAACAATACATCTCAACCACAGATTCTATACACACATCTTAATTGGGCAACAGGTGCAGTTACATGTACATGGCATTTACCATTTGTGCTTCAAGTATATTGCTGTGAATGGCCAAAGTACATGTACCATACCCCAGCAACGAAAGTACTATGCCCATACATACATGTACCAGTACCATGTTAAAGAGTGCAGGCCTCTCATTGTTTGGGCATGCCAAACAATGCATGTAGCCATTGTTAATCCACTAGGGTTTATTCACTACCAACCCAGGGTGAGGCTTCCCCTCCTTTTTTTTATTTCTCTGTTTTCTCCAAATGATGCAATCTACATTCAGAATTCGCATCTTAGCACAAACAGAAAAAAGGCCCTTTTTAGCTTGTTATAGTTGAGCTCTGAAGACAAATGACACTGCGTTTGATTTGGATCCTTCCATATTTATTTCAACAGATAAAATCAGAGCAAACATGGTTTCCTTAGAGGTGCTCTTTAACAACAACACACAATACACATGTACATATATGTACGTGTACTAAACATGCAACAATTCCATTCTAAATTACATGTACATGTAGCTCCGCTGATCAGAAAAAAAGTTTCAAATGGAACTTGCACACTACTTGTACAACAAAGACAAGCACACTGAACACTATATAAGAAATTCTCCATCCATTACAAATTGACTTACGTGTAAGTCCAGTTATAGTCTGGAGACAGCCTTTCCATGACATCCATTTCTGCACCAGGAACACTACAGATTGGAACCTCAAATACATCCTTAAGTTTCCGATATATATTGCGAATATAAATGCTGTCAAAGTCTTGATAAAGTGGAACAAAGTCCTGTGTGAAGATAAAAATCCAAAATATGTACATGTACAAGTAATTTTTATCACTTTTATTAATGAATCCGAGTACACGGGAATGAACATACAGTCACTGAAACACTAGGGAGTAAATGGATGTCTCCTGCAACCAAAGAAAGACCAACCTACGTTAATACTGTCAAAGGTTTAAATTAGTCATTTGCCATGTTCTGACTCTATTTGTCCCCCTCTAATAGGACCCCCACTATCATGCTATGCTGTACAAATGTATGGCAGCCATCTTTGAAGGCCTAAAAATTAAGTCACGAGGGCCTCATTTGTTTGCGCATTGTTACTGGTGTGTTTCTATCCATATGCAGAGATCAGTGATTCAGATACAATTCCCAAAACTGGTTCTAATAACTAATCCTTTGTGGCCTTAATTTTGGGGGCTTTTCATGCACTTAATTTTGGAAATCTAAAGGAAATGAAATAGTCCAAGTAACATTCTCCGATACAAAATGATTTAGGAAGCAGTGGTCCTAGATGCCCCTCTTCCCATCCACCACTGTCTTGGTCTTACCTTCAATTTGGGAGACTCACAAGCCCCAGGGGACTTAAGGACACCCAATTTCCACAAGTATTCCTTGATGTATCCAATAATGGCCAAAACAACATAGTTGTACACAGTTATTATGACCATCAATATTGGCACCTTCTCATTGGGACCTTGGTCCGACAACTTCTTACTTTTCTGCAATACAACAGACACCAGTAGATTAATTAGTCATTCTAATTTATTACATTTAATTAATTAAGAATACACAGAATTCCAAATACACCCTGTAACTTGGATGAAGAAGAGCACAAGTAGAGACTGGATTACTTTTTGGTGGTAAGTAAATACAAGTACATGTACTTGGTATCAAGAAATACAGAATCTAATGTAGTTACTGGTACATGTAGACACATATATACAAACATTGTACATAAAAGCAGGCCTTGTACTGATCACTTTTTCAGCTGCTACTGAATATCGTGAACAGTTCATTTATCATTTGAATACGCCACTGCTGTCGGTACCATCTAAATTTGTAATCTGCATGTGAATGTGTACAGTAGGTTTTCTTTCATAAATAACATAAAACACTGCAAATGGGAAATCCTTTTTAAAATCCTTTTACACTGTATATGCTTCGGAAATTATAGAGCAGTCCGGTGCCATCTTAATTGACAGTTTGCAATATATACTGTGCATGTATATTTGAGGAATAAGATCAAAATGGCCTTACATGAATAAGGTCAATAGGGGATGGACTCACTGCCGCCTGCTTTCATCCATCTGCCTGCTACTATGAAACATTTTGAAACCCCTGACTGTAAGTACGGGTGCATTCATACATGTACATGTACATGTACAGTATGTGTCACTTGTATGCAGATTATGGGTACATGTCCATGTAGAACTAAGACTTAACTTCCAACAAAAACTAAAGAGCCAGGAATCATAAAGAAGATGAAATCTTCACAACGAAAGATCGGATTGACCTGTAACAAAAAGATAAAGAGATTTTCTTCATCAAAAACTTGCAAATAAAATGTGGCTGATTTCATGTCTGCGAAGTGATACTGTCAATGGTATTTAGGTTTTGGAAGCTTTGTGCGTGTGTGTTTATTTCAGAATTTCAAAAGTGTTCACATCTTACAGCATTCTTATCCAAATGTAATCTGTCACTGAAAAGTTGGTAACATATTGCAGGAGAAACAATGAATAATAAACCAGTACTTTTTCAAACTAAAACTCTGACGTCATGACTCCATGTGAATTTCTGAATTCTCTTTGATTCCTAAGCGACAGGTAAAACTGTACATCACTGTCATCTTCCATGATGAGTTGGCTCAGTTTTCAAAAAGCAACGTCAACTGACTTATTGACAAGCACCAGACTTCACAATTTTGAAAATGAGCAATGATGTTCCTGGGAAAACAGTCATGGTGTTAAGGTTAACCCTGCAAATGTATGTTCACTGATGTACTTTTTACATGCCGTACATATACTTGCTCATTCCTTTAAAAGCAACAACCATTAGCTTCTTTCCACTACAAAGGCAGATACATGTACATGCAAAGGTTTCAAAATACCCCCTGAACTGACGAAGTGAAGCCAGTGATTTCAACTTTGGTTGCACAAGAAACACGACTCTCTATGTTTTTTCTGACATACATGTATTTATCTACATGTACAAACTATTCTGAAATGTGCAAAAAAGAAACTTAAGCAAGCTTAACTTTCTTTGAGATACATGTAATACATGAACAAGCATGGGTATTACACACAAACTTGTGCATGTACATGAACCTTTGGAGACATTACGGTTCCTGTTTCACAAATCAATTGGTTCATAATCACTTTTGCTAAGGAGTGCTGCGTTTTGTAACGTGTTCTGGTCCACTAGATTTTATAGGATACTAACTAGCCCTGTGGTTCAGCTGTGTTTCAATGGAATTCAACCCTTGACATACGGTATACATAATTTCTACGTTTACAATTACGTGTCCAGAAAAAAAAAAGCTACAATGCAGGTCTGTGCACTTTTTTCTTCAAGCACAGATACACGTACATGTAGAGTACATGTACTAAACATATACATGTACGTGATGCCTTGTGGAAATGCATGTTTACATACATGTCTGAGGGAATGGTATCAGTCCTTCAGCAAATACTACAGCTCTTGACTATGGCTCATGCTGGTACAATGCCAGAACCACAATGCTACAGCTTTGAACTTTGAAGTTAGTTTACAGGTGTTTTCAAGCTTAACCCTAGCTGCCCAGAACCTGCCATACTCCAACAGCAGGTTTTGTGAGGTTTTGGCAGGTTTGGTAC